CGGTTCCTGCGGCTACTTTTCCCCCCCCCATCCCCCAGGCCCGCTCATCCTACTGTCTGTCCACAGCCACGCCCCTACCTATGCCACCAAACGCCCTTGCCCTGGACCCTCCCCCTGTATCCAGTAACATCCGGAACCAAATTCTCTCAGGTGCGGACGTAGATCTCTTTTCCCGTCTGTCTCCTATTTCGCCTTCGTCCACCGACCGCCAAATTGACTGCGGCGAATTTTCAGTCACCTTAAAAAACACAGCAAATATTCAATCTCGTATTCTATAATTTTCCGAATTCGCCATCACTTTCAATCGTTACGCTGAAGTCATCTGTTCCGTTTTTCCTCACAGGAGACGTGAGCTCGGCGACTATCTCACTATTGTCGCCGAGCTCGCGCTATCATACGGGGGCTCCCATTTCTACATGTACCACAAGTTATTTTCAGCAAAATGTGCTATCCGAGTGGCCCAATGGAACCAGTGTCCTTACTGGGGGGCTTTGGACACTGAACTTCACAATAGGGTATTTTTAGGCTGCCGTAACATCACATGCGCGGTATGCCGATCCATCGCTCACTCCACCACAACGCCTTCCCCCCCCCCATCCCCCATGCCCGCTCATCCTACTTTCTGTCCACAGCCACGCCCCTACCTATGCCACCAAACGCTCTCGCCCTGGACCCTCCCCCTGTATCCAGCAACATTCGGAACCAAATTCTCTCAGGTGTGGACGTAGATCTTTTTTCAATTCTGTCTCCTATTTCGCCTTCGTCCACCGACCGCCAAATTGACTGCGGCGAATTTTCAGTCACCTTAAAAAACACAGCAAATATTCAATCTCGTATTCTATAATTTTCCGAATTCGCCATCACTTTCAATCGTTACGCTGAAGTCATCTGTTCCGTTTTTCCTCACAGGAGACGTGAGCTCGGCGACTATCTCACTATTGTCGCCGAGCTCGCGCTATCATACGGGGGCTCCCATTTCTACATGTACCACAAGTTATTCTCAGCAAAATGTGCTATTCGAGTGGCCAACTTCACAATAGGGTATTTTTAGGCTGCCGTAACATCACATGCGCGGTATGCCGATCCATCGCTCACTCCACCACAACGTGCCCCTTTGTCAACCCATCCATTCCTCCCAGCCCCTAACCATCTCAGCCCAAATCCACCAGCTACGTGCCGCACTTCCCAACCAACCCCTCCCTCCCCACTTCCACTAACCGCCGCCCCCCATCCTTCTCCAGCAGACAGCTCTGCACCAGCTTCAATGCCGGCAGATGCTCAAGACAACGCTGCCGATTCATGCATATTTGCAATTTTTGTGGCGGTGCTCATGCCCGCTTGATTTGCCCTGTCAAGAAAGCTGCAAATAAAAATGCTAAACAATACTTATCGACTCCTGTAAATGTCTCCCGTTTATCTTCTGAATTGATTCATCACCCTGACTCTGATTTCTCTAACTATCTATTGTCGGGCCTCTCACATGGTTTTCATCCCGGTGTCGAAATTCTCCCCTCCCAAAGCCTCATCTGCCCCAATCTTCAGTCCGCTCTCGCCGAACCCGAAACGGTCGATCTTCTAATTAAGAAAGAAACCGACGAAAATTTTATGATCGGCCCCTTCTCAGCCCCCCCCCTTTAACATTTTCCGTGTTAGTCCCATAGGCATAGCAACCAGAAAATTCTCTGGTAAAAAAACGCCTTATAATCGACCTCTCTTCCCCGCTCCCGAGCATTAACTGCCTCATCCCGCTTGAAGAATTTTATCTTCATTACCATGACATCGACCAAGCCATTACTATGATCAAAGACGCAGGTCGTGGCGCTTGGATGGCCAAAGTTGACATCACCTCTGCCTTTAAGGTGATGCCCATCCACCCAGAGTTTTGGCACCTATTCGGCATCTGCTGGCGCAAAAAATTGTACTTTTCCGTCCGCCTCACATTCGGCTGCAGAAGCAGCCCAAAAATTTTCAACATGTTATCAGAAGCAATTTGCTGGATCCTCTCCAACAATTATGCCGTACCCTACTTAATCCATCTCTTAGACGACTTCTTAATTATATCACCCCCCATCCCAGCAGCGCACCTTTCGACAATGCAAAAGGTTTTCGCAGAGCTCGGGATTCCCCTCGCTCAAGACAAAACTTCAGGCCCAAGCACTTCCATCTAATTTTTGGGAATCAACCTAGATTCACAAAGGTTCCAAGCTTCTCTAGCCAAGGAAAAAATCGACAGAACGATTCTGGTGGCTTCCACTCTTTTAGCCAACCCAAACTGCTCCAAACGCGAGCTGCTATCCGTGCTCGGTCATCTAAATTTCGCAATGCGAATCATTCCGCAAGGCCGCCCCTTCATCTCTCACCTCCTCTCTCTTGCATCCTCCGTTCACGAGCTAGATGATCAAATATCTATAACCAATTCATGCCGAGACGAGCTCAGTCTGTGGATTTCCTTCCTTAAACAATGGAACGGCTTATCTTTCTTTTACAGCGATTTGGTCTCTTCTCCCGTTGACATCCAATTATTTACCGACGCCGCCCCCTCCGTCGGTTTCGGTGGATTTTACCAAAACCGCTGGTTCGCATCTACGTGGCCCTCCCAGCTGTTAGATTTACCTCAGCCGCTAATATCCTCAGCACTTTTCGAGCTATATCCTATAGTCGTGGCAGCCTTTTTGTGGGGAACAGAGTGGTCCACCACCAGCATCGTTATTCACTGCGACAACGAGGCTACCATGCACTGCATTAATAAAGGCCGTTCTCATTCACCCACCTTAATGCCTTTGCTAAGACGTCTAATTTGGATCTCGGCTTGCAACCAGTTCATCATAACCGCAAAACACATTCCCGGGTCCAAAAACCAAATAGCTGACTCTCTCTCTCGTTTTGCCATTCAGAAATTCAGGCTGTTGGCACGAGAGGCGGAACCACTCCCAACTCCAGTACCTCCCTATTCAGAGCTGATATTCCATTGAATCATCCTCTGAGACCTCTTCTCGAGGCTTCCCTTGATTCTATTTTTCAAGCCGTTTCCCCCAGAACCTTGCAATCATATTTAACATCATGGAAATGCTTCAAAGCTTTCCATTCCGCCTACAACCTGCCGTTCCCCGATTTTTCCCTACTCTCTATCACTTCATTTATATCACACCTCAACATTAACAAAAATCTCCAAGTCAGCTCCATTAAAAGCTATCTAAGTGGAATTCAGTTTTTCCATAAACTCATATACGGTTCACCCTCACCTCAAATAGCCAATTCACAGACCTCCCTTCTCATCAAAGGCATTCAAAGAGCCCATCCCACTTGCCCAGACACCAGGCAACCCATAACATTAAAAATCTTGACTAAATGCATTTCCACACTCCGCAGAGGTTACCATTCCATCCACACCACTCGTACGCTCGATGCTATGTTTATCCTAGCCTTCTTCGGCTTTCTCAGATGCTCCGAGCTCACTACCACTTCCACCTTTAACCCGAATATCCACCCCACTATTTCTGATCTAGCAGTCCTGGACGACGAAGCCATGTCATTCTTTATAAAGCAAAGACAGACAGACCAGACAAAGAAAGGCCACTTTATTTACATTTTCAACCTTCAATCACCTATACTCCCATATCAAGCCCTCCTAGCCTTCCTTCAGCTCAGGAAATCCCAATCCAAATCACTTGCCGACCCTCTTTTTACAGATGATTCTAACCGCCCCGTCTCCCGTTTTTGGTTCCAAAAACACCTCAAGTCTGTCCTACTACTTTCCGGTTTCCCAGCCGATGATTTTTCCAGCCATTCTTTTAGAATAGGCGCAGCCACCACAGCGGCTCAAAAAGGCCTTTCTCAACAGCAGATCCAATCACTCGGTCGCTGGTCATCAGAAGCCTTTAAAAACTACATCCGATCTGACCGCTCACACATCAAGGAAGCCCACCAAACCCTCATCAGTCACCCCCTTTTTCCCTAGTCTGCCCATCTCCATTTAGCACCCCGCTCCTGCAGGAATTTTCAATTGCCCCTTTGCCTCAAGTAACGACTGCTCCCGCAGGTACCCTAGTACCTCCGCAGCAGCGCCCGCTCCCGCAGGAGCCTCATCTGTATTTCCCTACTGCCGCAGCAGTGTCTGCTCCCGCAGGAGCCTTACCTGTATTTCCCCAACGCCCACCATTCCCCCCTCTCTTCCCCCTCTTTCTTCCGCTCCCGGAGCCACCCCAAGCGTGAGCACGCCTCCACAAGCGTGCCCTTCCTTCCCATCCCTCCGAACACTCCCGCCTCGGAACCACCCCCTTTAACGCCAGTCCATCCCTGTTCACTCAAACTCCCGACCCACCATGACTAACCCCCTTTAACATCACCTAATCCATCTATAATGACCCATCCCCACTCCATCCATCCCAACAGCACCCCGCTCCCGCAGGAGCTTTACCTGTATTTCCCCACTGCCACAGCAGTGACTGCTCCCGCAGGAGCCTTTATCTATATTTCCACACTGCCGCAGCAGTGTCTGCTCCCGCAGGAGCCTTCTCTGTATTTCCCTACTGCCGCAGCAGTAGCCGCTCCCGCAGGAGCCTTTTCTATCTTTTTCTACTGCCGCGATTGTCGCGTCTCCCGCAGAAGCCTTTAGCTCTCTCTTTCAGCACGAAACGCTTCCACAGAAACCAAATTCTCTTCCTAGATACTGCCGCAATAAATGTATACCAAAGGACGTCCTGCACCCCTCTAACATTAAACCTTGCTTTTTGGGGGGTCGTAAATGCACGTATCTGGCTGCTGTCCTGTTTTAATTGCTTTTGCGGGAGCGCTTTTGGCCGGGCTGGACACCGAGCTCAGACCCCTCTCCCCGGACAGGAGGGGGTGCCCCGGGCTCGGGAGTCTTGCCGAGCTCTGAGCCCTCTCCCAGGACAGCACGCCAAATACGCATAACCTTTATTTAATTATAAGAAAGTGTGAACTCGTGAAGTGATGTTTATAAACAAATTTCGGGAGGAGCACGCACAGATAATTAACACGGCCAGTTCATCATTAGTGATTACACCATTTATCCAATCAGCACAAAAGAAAACTCCTATAAATAACCAAGTACGTCCTACCTTCGTCATCTCTCGTCTTTCAGCATCCCTCCGCCACCCCAACCCCGCACCTTCAGCATAGTTTCTATCCCAGCACGGGGAGAAGCACTCGGGGGGAGCGCTTTCGGGCCGGGCTGGACACCGAGCTCGGACCCCTCTCCCCGGACAGCACGCCAAATACGCATAACCTTTATTTAATTACAAGAAAGTGTGAACTCGTGAAACAGGGTAAAATGTCAGATTGGCTTTGGCAAAAGAAATAGGAAAAAAACACTGTATTGTCAATTTAAAAAAAAAAATTAAAAACATGATAGAATTGTTCACTGCCTAAACTGGTCTGGTAGATCTCAAGCTTCAGAGAGAGACGAGAGCGCTGGTTTAATAGAGACGTGACGGGGTCGAGGAGTCGCGGAGATTCTGCCCTTGTGAGAAACAGCGAGAGTCTCCGGCTGCCCATTATTAGTGTGTGCTGCTCAAACAGAGCGCTAATACTCTCATCTCACACACACTCACACAGAGAAAGACTCACACACAGACACACACACGCACACACAGACACACACGCACGCGCACACACACACAGACTTAAACACACACACAGACACACAGAGACACACGCGCGCACACAGACACACACACACTCACAGACTCCAACACAGACACACAGAGACAGACACACACATGCACACATATGCACACACAGACACACACGCGCACGCACACAGACACACAGAGACAGACTCACAAAGATACACACGCGCGCATGTGCACACACACACAGACTCAAACACACACACACACACACACACACACACACACACACACACACACACACACACAGACTTAAACACACACACTCACACAGACCTCTCTCATAACCCTCCTTATCCTCTAACACTACTATTAATAAAAACAATAATACCGTGCATAGCAGTAATAATGCATGCTGTGAGCTCATTCTGCTTCTGTGATGAGAAATCTAGTGTAAAGACAGTGAATACTGAGCACAAACACAGAGGTTTCTGCGGTTGCACACGCCGCCCACTCAGCACTCTCATACTAGAATAATACCACTTAATCAGAGAGCAACATCTGGAAATTACTCTGATAATCAGGCCAGGGGAAATCAAACTGTAGGTTTTTTTTTCCACAGCCCCTTTTTCGTTAGCTTACAGGGCTAATGACAACACTGTCACTCCCAATCACTTCAGCCGCGCTCCGCCGTCCATTACTCAAACGTTATGACAGCTCTAATGACTTCCACCTGCTCCGTCCGCTGCCAGTCACTGCAGCATTAATGGGGCCCTAGAAATACCTCTTATTTCTTCCAAATTCTGTTTTTCCTTTTCATTTTTCTGGACTCCTTTTAATGATTAAATTGAATTTTATTAATTCAAAAGCATGTCTTATATATATTTCATGATTTTAATCAATACTTTAACATAAAATTACATGTTTAGGGCCCTGTGAAATGTTTTATTTTTTCACACCTTTTGGTTGATACCAAATTATGTTTTAGCATGTCTATTATTATTTGAATGCATACAAACCATTTTTTTATTTATTCTTACAATAGCCTAAAGAAATTCTGTGTTGTTTAGTTACAGTTCTGGTTATCAAATGAAGGCATGAAACATAATTAAACAAATTTTATTTTTTGGCCAATGAATGGGATTTTCTAGTCAAATTAAAACATGAAAGAAATATTGCGTGATTATAAATAAAGTTTTATACATTTTTCAACAGTAGTAGTAGCTGTAGCAGTGATGCTTATATTCTACTGAATGACAGTAATATATTTCTGCCACAATGTCTTCAAGTTAAACCAAAGTTTTATTTTGACAGGTTGCTGTGCATATATTTGACACTAGTTTTACTCAAATGCTCCTGGATTGACTCTCAGAGC